CCCGCAGCCCAACCATATAGGTGCACTGGGTAAACCAACACTCTCGTATAATAGCTTGCAAACCATACGAGAGATGTAAACCACACTAGGCTAACCATGTGTGACAAGCTCGACCTAGCGACCGTTGACAGGGGATTCGAACTTGGGTCAATTGACCCAAGCTTCCTTGCTCCAACCGCTAGGCCACCCTTGCGGGTTTCAATTTTTTTTAATATTATCACATGGGAGTGGAGTCTAGTATGGTTGAAATAGTAGTGATGTAGGACCCCTACAATTTTTGTATTCCCTCCATTTCTAAATAGATGTAAGTTTTTTTAGTTTTAAAAATTTCAATGTCTTGATTTTAGAAAAATAGATGTTGATATATTATTAGAATACCCTTATTTACTAATTAATGCATAAATATTGTTGGAGAATTAATAAAATTATAACTAAAAAACATGTAACTAATGTAGCATTGGAATTGTTAAGTAATAGATAATATGATGTAAAAAAAAATTCTAAAAAACGGCAGATATCGTGGAACAGATGAAATAGTACGTCTCATTTCTTTTGTTCATTTCTTTTGTATAGAGTAAACTGCAAAAACTACCCCTGTGTTATCTCGAAATAGCAAAAACCCCCCTGTGATAAATAAACTAGCAAAAACCCCCCTGTGAAATTTAGTCAAAGGCAGAATCCCCCCTAGCTGATTTTTTAGACTTGAAATGACAAAATTGACCCTCAAAATGTATTTATATATATACATATTATATGTATATTTATTCTTTTTAATTTATTTCTTTAGAAATTAAAAAAAATAGTAAACAACTAAATTGATTATTTTTTAAATAAAATAATTAAAATATTTATAAAATATAAGAATTTATTAATTGCAAGACTCCAGGGGTATTTGTGTCTTTTTATATCAAGTCAACCCTCAAATAGTTCCATATGGGGGTTTTTGCTATTTAAATAATTTCACAGGGGGGGTTTTTGCTAGTTTATTTATCACAGGGGGGTTTTTGCTATTTTGGGATTACACAGGGGTAGTTTTTGCAGTTTACTCCTTTTGTATATTACAGATATTAAGTTGTAGTATTACTATTACTGATTACATCTTAGTCTTTTAAGGCATAAAGTATAGATTTTACAAGTGCCTCATATATATAGATAGATATACACACTACATATACACGTATATAATACATATCTTAAATTGATTTGCGATTGGATTTAAGATTTTACAACTCTATCAAAATATCACAAAGTGTGAACATATTTCAAAAAGTCCAAGGGTTAGTCAACTGTATTGTGTCCATCAAAGTCAATTTCAACACTATGGGTTAAGAAATAAAACTTATTGTGTATTTTAGTTGACTGCTAACTGTTAGTGTTCATTGTTTATGACCAAAGAAAGTCAGTTGGGATGGGATCCAAGAAAATAATACACTACTAGAAATAATCTTGATTTATTATGCTTAATTCTTGTATCTTTTATTATTATTATTTTAAGCTATAGATAGTATCGATCTTTTGCAGATTCTATGTTAATTTGAGTAATCTTTCATGATTTAACGTTACACTTTTTTGGTTTACCGTTACTTTGACGCACTAAATATAATTTTTATACACCAAATATAGTTTTAAAATATCTAGTGGCTTATTTGTAATTTATCATAGCTTTTGTGTTAAAAGAGTTTTTGACCTATGTTATTTTATTTATGTTTTTAATGAAGGAACCAACAACTAATCATGTATATATATGTCAGGTAAACTTACACTCTTATATAATAGTTTGCAAATCATACGAGAGACAGAAACCACACTAATGTTTGATAAACTCGAATTGTATTGAGTTTTATCGGATGTGGTTTTCATTAAATTAGTGTTTTTTATGGAATTAAGGTAGCATTAAATACTCATTGAAAAATAAATAGAAGTGTTTTAGACCTGTTTGGTTGAGCTTATTTTGAAAAGTTGATAAGCTCTAACGTCAGATAAATTGTTTTGAGAACTGATAAGTTGTTACGTCTTAATTTTAGAAGTAGTTTTTAAAGTGTTTGGATAATGAGTGTATAAACTATTTTTACTCATTATAAGATCTTAAATTAAAAAGTGGAGCATGTGCACTTTTTCAAAAAATATCTTAAAAGCTCTTATACAACTTATTTTTCAAAGCCTTAAGATCTAAAAATTATCAAAAAATCTGAAACAGCTTATAAACTTTTTTTAACAGCTTATAAGCTGAACCCATAAATCATCATAAAGGGTCAACGATCAAGTGAACATGTGAGGGACAATAATTTGGTCCATCAAAGTTGGCTATGACACCACCAATTTGTTGGACATGTATATGTGAGTAGACTTTAGACTTTCTTTATGCATTACTCCACACTATATTTCTAAATAATACAATTTTATTATTAGTTTATGTCTTTTCCACAAGGGCAATATGGGCAAGGGGGCTATCGCCCCCCAAAATTTTATACATATATCTTTTAATTATATTGTGTAAATTTAATTTTTGTAATTTACCCTTTTTTTCTCTATGATAATACTAATTTCGAACACAACCTCCAAACATGTGTAAACACTTTATTTGCCATCGTTTATTATCTTACAACCCCCGTTAAATTGAACTGACTCGTGCTCATGCCATACTATGTACATGCAAATCTCTATAAATTAATATAGTAGAAACTGGCAAAATTCTACTGATTTAGTGAAATATTAAATTATCGAACTAATAACTCATAAAAACACCTCGTTTGCTTTATTTTCTACGAAATAGATAAAATACTTTTTTTCCAAGTACTTAATTTAATTTAATTTTTAAAATTTAACTAATTTCTTTTCTTTTATTTTATTTTTGACAACGAATATGTACCAAATTTTAAATGATGCAACACTTTTCAAGCTTAAATATTTTCGAATACTTTGATCCAAAATACTAATTATAAAAGCCCAACCCAATATCAGTGTAGATGGTCTGGGCTTAGCCCTGAATGCTCAATGGGTTGAATTTGGGGTAAAATTCATTTTCGTCTCTGACATTTGCATTCAAAAGCAAAATCATCCCTGTGGTTTTAATTTCCTTCAATTTCGTCCCTTCAAGTCAATTTATCCGGCAAAATTCTGTTTTTTTCATAAAATCCCCACACTACCCTTGTAAATAAGCGGGGTTTTTTTAGGGTTAATATTATTCCTCTCTTCACAGCCTTTGTTTTTCCAATCATGAGCAAATCCCCAAATATCTTGAAAAAAAAATTCCCGTCAAAAATTTCAGAAGAAAATATTGTAGCTTCATAGCAAATTGTCTACACCCCTCCATTTCGACACTTCATAGGTAAGATTTGCTTTGATTTTCAGGTTATATCATTTTATGTCAGTTGGTTCATAAGTTATATAAGTGAGATTTTTTTGCATATTATTACTATTTTCTCGTTCTATATGAATGGGATATGATAAATACATAATCTTAAATCTATTTATTGTAGAAAATGCGATTTAATTTGGGTATTAGTTTTTTGGGAATAAATTATTCTCTGCGGAATTTGGAAAGCAACGGCTATGACTACTTATATTTGTTAAGTGATGTTTGTGGGACTGCAACTGGGCATAGAAAAAAATGGTTGAGTGAATTGGTAGTGGTAGAAGGTGTTTTGCCTGATACATGAGATAAATTTGCAATCAAGAGTGATGTAGACATAAGCAATTTAATTGGAGTATATATTGCTTTAGGATTGCAGGATGTTGCTGTTTGTTTAAGTGTAAGCAAAAATCTATGTGCCACAGATTTGGTTGATGCTGAAAATATTGGTGGTAGCTCTAGTGCCACACAAATTGAAGAGTCTGGTCTTATCGTAGCAAACATCGTGGAGACTAATGAGTCAGATGAAGAGGGGAGCATTGTCATTGAAGAAATTGTTGAATGGAGTGATTCTGAATTCGAGAAAGATGATGGGCATGTTGATGCAGGTGATGAGAGAGCTCCTATTCATTACGAATCCGATTCAGAGAGTGATGATTTGAGTGACTACAACTCAGATATGGACCAATCAGTTTACCATAATGATGAAGATTTGTAAGTTATGGTTCCAGTAGCACCTTTGAGTTATGCCATGGAAGGTGAATACTTTGAACTAAATAAAGATTTAAATGACAATCAGATTGTGGTGCTAAAGGAAGGGCAAATATTTGACAATGTTCAGCATTTTAAGGAGATTCTTGCCAAATACACAATACAAGAAGGTATTGTTTTGAAAAACTCAAGAATAAAAAAGCGAGAGTCACTGTAACTTGCATTACTGATAAGGACTGTGATTAGAGACTACATGCATCTACCTATAGTGATGGAGTAACATTCAAGATAAAAAATATAAAAGGTATTCATACTTGTGTCAGAAAACTGAAGTGTAGTGGAGCAACAGCTAAATGGATTGCAGCTGAGTTCAAAGAAGAATACAAGAGTAATCCAAACAAATGAGTAGAGGAACTTGACAATGCTTTAAGGTCAAAGTTTGGAGTCCATGCTAATACAAGCAAATTGTTCAGGGCAAGAAATATTGCAATGCAAGCTGCCTTAGGAGATCATGAAACTAGCTATGCTAATATTCCAAGATATATTGCTGCACTCAAGGAATCAAATAATGGAGATTTTGTGAAACTGAAGTGTCAAGGTTTAGACATTACGAATCCACATTATAGCCCACAATTTGAGAGACTTTTTATAAGTTTTGAAGCACAGTATAAGGGTTATATCCAAGGTTGTAGACCTTTTATTGGAGGTGATGGATGTTTTCTAAAAGGGCCATTCAAAGGTGAATTATTTACTGCAGTAACCTTAGATGTCAATTCTGGAATTTTTCCTATAGGAGGTATTAGTTTTAATATACTTAATGTATGTAATATTTGTTTAATTTACTTTACATTGACTTTAATTATGTATATATTTATTTTTGTTCAATTTCAGTCATGATTTGTGAAGGAGAAAATGAAGACAATTTAAATTACTTCTTTGATTGCCTGAGTACTTATTTGCAAGATCAGAGGGTTATCACTTTCATGAGTGATAGACAAAAGGGATTGAAAAAAGCAGTGAAGTCCGTTTTTCCAGTCTTAAGACAGAGATATTGTGCAAGGCATCTATATGCAAATTTCAGGGCCAAATTTCCAGGCCCTAAATTGAGAAACCTCTTTTGGATTGCTGTGAATGCTTACACAGAAGAAGACTTTCAAGATGCAATGAACTCAATCAAAGCAGCTGATTTTGGAGCACACAAGTGGTTGATAGAAACTTGTAAAGAAGATCCAAGTACTTGGTCAAAACATGAATTTGATAGAATTACAAAGGTTGATCATGTTACAAATAACATGACAGAATCATTCAACGCTTGGATGGGGAAAATGAGGCAAAAACCAGTGATATCTATGTTGGAATGGTATAGAACTAAGGTCATGAAGAGGTTTTATACTAGGCAACAAAAGGCATTGAGTTGGCAGACTAGGTTACTCCCTAATGTGAATGCAAAGGTTGAAAAAAATCAAAGACAAGGAAGAAACTTTTTGGCAATTCCTGCTTCTGAGTACTTGTTTGAAGTCTATGATGACAAGAAGTATATTGTCAATATTAGAGAGAAGACTTGTCAATGCAATGAGTGGCAAGTGTGTGGAGTGCCATGTAAACATGCAATGAGTTGCATTTTGTACATGAGATATGATCCAGTAGACTATGTCAGTCCTTATTTGACTACAAAAGCTTATTTGAGAACCTACAGTGGTATGATCAATGCTATTCCTGATGAGTCTAAATGGTCAACCAACACTCAAATTCCTCCATTGAAGCCTCCAGTTCACAAGAGAAAAAATAGAGCATTTAAACAAGGCAGATTGCAAGTAAATAGAAGAAGAGAACTTAATGAGGCTCCCAAGGTACACAAAAGGTCAGTTCATGTCACTTGCAAGGTTTGCAAAGAAGTTGGACATAACAAGAGGACTTGTAGAAGGAAAGATGCAAATAATGTACCAATACAAGTGTCAAGGCAGTCCACTACAGAACATGTATTATTTATTTCATTTTACATATTTCAATCATTTTGATCATTTTAATTCTTTTTTTCTTTTCTTAATTTGCAGGATTTTGGTTCTCAAATTTCAAGTGTAGACAATGGCAGAGGCTCTCAATCAAGGATTTAACTCATTTTGTCTTTAAGGTAGCTGAACAAAGTATTTTTGAATTAGTGGTTTATCTTTATGGATTTAGTTAGCTCACTTTGTCTTTAACTGAATTTGGCCTATTTTGTTGTTAGTTTGATTTTTGTGGTCATATTTTTGCTGGATATGATTGGCCTATTTTGTTGTTAGTTTGATTTTTGTAATCAGATGGTTTTTTTTTGGATATGATTGAAATTGTATATGACTCATTCTTTTGCTTTAATTTTGAAACCATTGCTTTGAAAATTTACAGTAAATTCTTCCAATATTTCATTGATGATTGCATTTAATACTTGAACAATACAACAGAGGCTACAAGAGCAAAAATTGAGCAGACACATGTTAAATATGATAATCATCTTAAGAACTTCCAAACTCATAGAGCTAAATGTGGACTATGTAGTGTTAGTTTCCATTATGGCTAAAGGTGTTTTAGCAGTAGCTTGGTTGTTGTTGCTACTCATATATATTTCTTCAGCACATGCTTGCAATGCTTCTTTCTTTACTTCATCTTCATGTGGCTCCCAAAATGTGTAGAAATTACACTTCTTGGTGTAACAATGAAAATAGAGTTTGTGGGGATTAAGTGTGCATTCGGATATTTTAACTGCACCCTTCCTTCCACATAAACAAATTCGATTTTTGAACTTGATAGCTTCTCCATTAATGATGTTGTTGTCAGTTGAATTTGAAGAAGACATTTTTTTCCCAGAGATTTGATGTAGAAATGGATTTTTTTTGGTTTTTTTCCCCAGTTTCTTAGTGTTATTCATGGATTTATACAACTTTTTTTTTGGTCTTGTACACTAGCGGTCGAATTTCAAACGGTCATTTAAAAAAGGTGGGTTGTTGGCTGCAATTCATTTTAGTCCCTCAAGTTTTGTAAGGGTAGTGTGGGGATTTTATGAAAAAATCAGAATTTTGGCGGATAAATTAACTTGCAGGTACGAAATTGAAGGAAATTAAAACCACATGGATGATTTAGCTCTTGAATGCAAAGGTCAGGGACGAAAATTAATTTTACCCGTTGAATTTGAGTTGTTTTTTTTTTTTTTGTAATAGTTAAGTTATGAATTATTTTATTTTATTTAGTAATAATTTGATTATGTTTAAATTTTGTGTGTGCGTTTTTCAACAATTAATTATTTTAAGTTATCTTATTTTTTAGGGGTAATATGCTGGAGGTCCCTCAAACAAACCCTAATTAGATGTGGGATACAAGCCCAATATTTTTTTCGTAACTAAATCCCTCGTTATGTATAATAAATGAAATAAAGGTTTTTTTTTTCAAATATCCCCATTATACCCTTAATTGTAACAAAACGTGTATTAACGTTACAAAGAGTTACATTGATTTGGTAAATCTCATGTTCCTTATAATTAGGGATCACATACCAATTTATTCACATAATCTTGTAACTGCATCGTAATATCATATCACTTCGATATGAAGAGATTGACGGTGATATCAGTATCCTGGGTATTCTGCAAATCTCTGAGTTTCGTTCTTTCGTCTACAACCGTAAGAAGGTTCGGTTTATATCGCTTTTACCAATTAATTGTGTTTAATTGATGCGATCGGGTTTTTTGTTTTTTTTTGTTTTTGTAGTTTGCACATACAATTTCTGTAAATTTTTCTACTTTAGTAGCAGTATGTAAGATGAGTGCTTTGTTTGAGTTTGGATTGGTAATTCATGTTGTTTTTTGCATAATTTGATTATATGGTTGCTTTTTGTAGTTTCATCAATTGGCACGGATTTAATTTTTTTGTTTATGTAATTGTTTTACAATAAATTTTGATTTTTGTTGGACAAACTGGTTTCATCATGTTTACAGGTTTCCTAGTATGTATTATGGTTTTTTATTCATTGTATAGGTTTATGTCGTTTTTTGTGAAATGTACATATTTGTTGTTTTTGCTATAGCCATTAATAAGATTATATGTACTGTCACTGCTAAGTTTATATGCACAATATTTTATAGACATATATTATTTTTTGTGTTGATATTATGTCATATTATTATCATAATACTATTGAGGTACGACATCGCTGCCTTGGCACACTGAACTGTATCAGTTGGCGGAAGAACGTTATGACTCGGTATATGGGGTACTAATTGAGCTTGTTGCTGAAGTGGAGTTTTGGAACATAGCATGTTTGGGCGGAAAATGACGAATTTTGGGGTTTCCATGCGCTCATTGCTGCTTGTGTGTTGTACAAAGCGAACACGGAAGGATACAATTATGTGGACGACTACTTTCATTTTTCTTCGAACATACAAGGTTATGCTTAAATAGTTTTTTCTTCTACTAGACCTAGTGTCGATCCTTCGTTGGCTGTGATTGGTCCGCCCGAGTTCCGGTCCAAGCAAAACGCGGTAGAACAAAGACGAAAAGGATTGTTTCAAGGCGTAAGAGTGTAGCGAGGAGGATGAGGTGTAGCCGCTGCAACCAGGTTGGCAGTCACAACAAGAAGACATGCACAAATGCAATTGAGTTGTTTTATTTGGAGTATTTTACAGCAGTTGCACTACGATTATTATTGAAACTTAAATTGTCTTTTTTTAACTCATGGATTTTTGTTGAAGACTACTTCTTTTTTCAGCAACTTCAATTTTTTTATGACTGGTTTGTTTTTGTTCCATGAATTTTATTTTGATTGAGTAGTTGAGTATTTAATATTTTATTTTGAAGTTAATTAAAAATTTATAAGCTTTTCAATATTTTGTTTTCTTCACAGGTTATTGTATTTGTGTTTGTTGATTCTTTATGCGTTGGATGAATTAATGTGTTGTTTTGTGGTCGTCGCTTTGTTTGTTATACACAGTCTTACTTAATTTTGCATAACTAGTTCACAGTTCATTCTTTCATTGTTGTTGGAATTTCAGTTTATGTATTAATTTCTGACATCACCCATACAATTTTTTTGGTGCTTCTGGCAATTCATATTGTGAATGTATACAATTACCAGGTACTATTGCAACGCAATTCCGATGGTAAACCATTACACGTTGTAATACAATACAGTACACTATAGAATACTATAGCATATTATAGTTGCAATATATTATAACATACTATAATACATAACACAATTTCCATAGTATACCACTGGACATTATATTACAATACAATATATTATAGTATACTATAGTACATTATAGGATATCTGATATATCATATTACGTATAGCATGGCCATATAGTATGAATGTATTAACAGATTTCAGTATATGTCAAATGCTAAAGTATCTTTACTGAATAAATAGCAAAGTGAGCACTGAATATGGCATTAAATATTGTCAATATAACCATATAATTCTTTTCACATAGAAATACAGCAAATGTCATTTGCACAAATGTTTACACTTGCGTAAAAAAAACAAAAACAAACTAGCATGAACTTATAGCTTAATCAATTTCGTAATTCAGTAGATATTCTACAATGTTTCTTCTAATATTTGTAACCCCTTCATCAACATCTTTTATTTACAACAACTCTTGAAGAAAATGTTCTCTGATGATGTACAACACAGTTACACTACAATCGTTGTTCTCAATTTTTTGTTGTGGACTAGTATGAATGCTTAAATGTTCGCCGAAGGGGATATAATTCCCTATCTTGTGTTGTCTTCTCCAAGTATGTTTTCTGCATGTTACTTATACAAGTTAAATATATATACTCATGTAATTGGAAAATGAACATATGAAGAATTAAATGTTCAATAAAAAATGTAGGGAATATAAAAAGGAATAAGTACGAATACCATACAGTTAAAGAGGAATAATTTTATGTTCAAAAGGTCAGTCTATACAATGCATAGACACATATAGGCAATCACACATTCATGAGAGTTTACAAAAAGATGTAGACACCAACATAATGTATAGACAAAAAAACAGGGTACTTGTGTTTTTAACAAATGGTGTAGACATCCACATATGCTACAGGCTATGAGGCCCCAAAATGTTAAGAGTTGTGTATAGTATAAGTAGTGCAAAAAATTTTCATATCCATCTTAGTGTTGACATCACCAGTATCATAGGCATCCATAGATAGTCAAAAAAATTGTTGTACAATCAACTAATTAATTCACAAACAACACTTATTTGAACACAATGTACTTATTTTGTGATTTTACACAATTCACCACACACATGGCACACACAGTACATTATTTTCTATAACATCTATAAAATCACCCCGATTTTTTTGTTCTATAGAACTACATAAATAAGGTATAAACTTTTGTAGAGACCCAAACTATGTTTTACACAATCAAATCACCCGGAATATATATTCAAACCCAGTTCTTAAAATGTTGTAGACGCCATAAATACTATTTCACATAATCAACAAACAACCACACGAATTTGCAAAGACAACTATAGAAACATCTATACAATCAAATCAACTATTATTGTCCTAATCTCACAATAACTCTCACACACAATCAAGCCATTTAACATATACATCCAAAGTAACTATATATTAATCATAGACACCAAATAATCTTATGAATACACTCAAACAAATTACCACACATGTTTCATTCTTACCAGGGTCTAGCGCGTTTATATCTTGTTGCACTTTCATCCTCATCTCTCCTGCAAAATTTTCCTTGTTGAAATTCCTAGTTCTGAAATTGGACGATAAGCGATGAGGACTCCAAAATTAGAAAATAAAATAAAATACGTACTTGATTTGTTGCAAGACGTAGACATCTGTAGGGATAACGAAAGGTTTTGAGTGGATTTTTCTTCGCCTTGTTTCAATTTGTCGCTTAATTGTTAGGAGAGCTAAATGTGTTGGTGAGGATCAAATAGTGCATAGACAATCATAGACTAGCACAACACCCGTAGAATACCACAGTTTTACATAGATGATTTAAATATTCACATAAGCCTAATTAACTCATACACACATTTCATTAACAATAATGACTAGTAAGAAAAATTTGCAACTATTTCTTATCACCCTCACATTGTGGGTCCACAAAATGTCCACATATATTCACCGTACCGGTAGATACCAGTTAGGTGATGCAGTATATGGAGGTCTAAATATTCATTCAATATACAATTTTATTCTATCATGCTTACTATCAGCCAAAATAAACGAATCCCAGCACTACCCCATAACTACAATCGGATGAAACACCTACCAGTTTACAGTTTACAGACAACCATGAAAAATCAGTGGAAATTCATAGACTACCATAGAAATATTACAACATAAACTACAATAGCAATTACTATGCCACAGCAACAAATACCCAGAAACATATTCAATATACAATTTTCTTCTACCAACTACTTTGTAATCAGCCAAAATAAACGAATCCCAGCAATACATAACTACAGCCATACAAAATATCTTACCAGTTTACGGAATACCATAGAATTGCACTGAGAAGTTCATAGACTACCATAGAAATCTTAAGCATAAACTACCATAACAGTTACTACACCACAACCTACTGCATATTCCCATAGACTACAATAGAAATACGCCTAAAAATATCACTGACTATAACTATAATTGAAACCACCAAACTATTTTCATAGACACACACGAAAACGCACACAAATTCAAACCACCAATTACAAATTCCAATTACAAATTCAAACCACCAAACTATTTTCATAGACACCCAATGATTGAACATAATGAAACAGAAAATTGCACATATGCACAATCTAATCTGGATCTAGCACATTTATGTCCTGGTGACCCTTCATTCGCATCTCCCCTGCATATTAGATTGTGTAAAAACCCTAATTTTTAAGTTTTTAGAAAAAAAAAATTCAAAACAAAACTCACTCGATCTGTTGCGTGACGTAGACATTCATAGACGTTTGTGGAGACGAGGAGTTGAATTTTGTTGCTGTATAGTACTTTCAGAATTATTGCCGCCGATTCGCAGTAGAGAAGAAGAGGAAGACGACCTTAATTTGGGGGAAAAGGAGGAGGTGGTGGTTTATGGCACGGTTATTATGGAATTCAGGATAATAGAATCACAGAGATTCTTAAAGCCGAGATTGGTGGGATTTAATTTCAACTTACCAAATACCAAAATACACGGCGTTAATATTACCGTAAGGGTACTATAGGAATAATTTCACAAAAGGATGTATTTCTAATGTTTTAATATCCTTGGGTGTAGCATCTAATATGTTTTCCCACTAGGGGTGCATATCTTAAAGCCCCTATTTTTTAATAGATATTTCAACCAATAAAAAAATTAAAATTAAAGTATGTGATGCACTAATAAGATGATTCTTTTCTCCTTAAAAAAATACAGAATATTGTATTCATTATGGTACCATTTAATTTAATAAAAAAAATCAAGTATAATTCAAAATTTAGGATAATGTTTATAAATATTAACAAAAAAATTTCAACCTTTCTTTTCTTAATTTCGCCATCTCGTATTAATTAAAAATTACCATAAAATCAGAGTCAAAATCTCATCGAATCTCAATTATTTCCCACCCAAATATTATAGTATATTTAACTTAAATAAATAAATACATAAATAAACAATTAAATCAAAATCTCTGTGCACGAAGAAACAACAAGGAAACCACCATCATCCCATTGTTGAATATTATTTTACTAATCGGCATCTGAATTCTGACTCCTCTCTGTTTTGAATCCCCTTCACCATTATTTGAATATTAATTTCTTGAATTTTGAATTAAAAAAATAAAATAATTCCAAAAAATGTCATTGGTTAATAGTGGGACTCTTTCAAGATTGGTTCTTTCTTTCTTTCTTGCTGGGTTTTTCCCTCTTTCTCTTCATTCATTTCTCGTTTTCCCTAATTTACCGCACCGATTCGCCAATTAAGGTATGTTAATGAAAACCCTCTTTTGATTAATTAATTCATTAATTTAATTCAATTCAATTAGTGGGTTTCTTATTGTATTTATTAATTTCTGAATAATTTTATTATCTGGGCTGTTTCTTGATTTCTCTCTTGTCTGTGTTTTCTGGGTTTTAATTTGTATGTAATCCCTTTTTTATTTTTTATTTTAATTTATGTTAATGATTTTCAGGGGTGTGCCTAACAACAATGGTGATTTAAGAATTAGGGATTTATGCATTTCTGATTTCTTGGAAAATGTAAACACTTTCATTACTAGGTTTGATTCAAAATACATTGATTGATTGGTTGGCCTTCACTCGTTTCGTATTTTCGAAACGGGAAGCTAGTGAACAAGGTTGTCTTCGGTTAATTCGAATTGTAGATTCCCCTTAAGTATATAGTTGATCTAGAAAAATCGAATGGAGCTGAACCACGTAAACGGCGAAACAGACGACACCGATATCGAATCCTCGTCCACGCAAAGAAACTCGAGAGAAAACCATTTTCACCACTCGAGCTACCCCGGCGCGGTGAGGCAAAAAGCCTACATTTTCGACGGCGAAGGGAATTATTACAATAAAGAATGGACTCTCGAACAAGGCCGAGGGAAAGAGTTCTGCTGGTACCACGTCGAGCTCCCGAAAGGGAATCAAAAGCTCTCGCATTTAGCGCAGTACCTAATCGACGTTCTCTGCCCTCCGTTGAAGCTCCAAGATATTCTCTCGCTCGTAAGTAACGGGCCCTTTTGCGGGTATGTAGATGGCGCCCTCGTGTTTAGGGTTAATTCGGCGGGGCCCGCTTCGAGTAAATTCACGTTTAGGATTGCTGCTAGGGTTACGGAGAATTCGGTTATTACGGTTTCTTTAGGGCGGGTCCCGCGGTTGGGGTTCTCTCCGGCGAACGAGTCGTTGCTGTCGGAGATTCCGGTTGTGGAGAGTTCCCGGGATGGGGGAGGAGAAGGAGAGGGGCGGGATCGTAATTAGGGAGCATGTCTTGGATTTCTTGCTGACGATGAATCATTCCGAGGAGGCCGATAATCCCGTGCCTAGGTCGGTTTCGAATCTTGTCGTGCATGTGATCGATACGCATGTCGATCACCTTCAAGATTTCGTCACCAAGCTTGAGATCGAATTGGATACCGTCGAATTTGAGATGGATCGAGGTATGTTCTTAATTAGTTTTTTTTCGTCATTCATTTCTCGTTTTCTTGTCTTTTCGTGCACTTACTACATAGTAAACAACGTCTCGGAAAAAAACTTTACTATAGTATAGTTAAGACAAAATCTTTTTTTTTTTCGCTCGATGTAATAATTCTTAATATGCGTGTGTGTGTGTGTGCGCGCGCGCAGGTGGTTTTGCTCTGAAGAAACAAATGTTAGACGACCGAAAATTCCCAAAAATGCATCTTGACTTGCAGCGTCTATTGCAGGTACACACTTAAAAAACCGTTTAACAATCGAACTAATAATTTAGTAGGGTTTTTACCGAGTCGGGATCAGAAGAAACTATTAATTAAGCGAGGTTATTAATTTATCGACGTTCTACTAAATCAACACGTATTATAATTGCTTCATAGTGATTAGCATATCTTTTATCAAAAAAAAAAAATTGCAGGTGATTGCACATGGCGAACAAGTATTCCCTCGAGTGAAAGAGAAATGTTCGTCAAAAGACTGGTTTGCCCCTGAAGATATTAACGCCTTGGAAGAGTTAATCGGGCGAATAAGGAGACTAAAGGAAAACGTCGGTTTTATAGCCAACCGTGTCACCGCAATCCAGGCTGGCCTCGACAGCTGGCAGGCCGAGCAAATTAATAGAAAATTATATTACCTCTCTTTCCTCTCCATCATATTCTTACCTCTATCGATAATTACCGGAGGTGATCATTTTTTTATTTTTTTATTTTTTTTAATTGAACCCTTTTAATATTTAATTCATCGAAATAAATTATAATTTTTTTTTTAATTATTATTTTTTGACAGTTTTTGGGATGAATGTGGGAGGAGTACCGTGGACGGGACAACGAGATCCAACGATAAAAGACGGATTTAGAAACGTGATGATGGTGTGCGTGGCGATGCTAGGAATTGTTCTGTTGTGCTTCATTTTTCCGGCTATTTATAGCCGTGTGATGACATGGCGACGGAGGAGAGTTTTGAGGAAGAGTTGGTCTCTCAATCGGAAGTCGTTCGCTAGGAGAACTGGTGGAGAAAGAATCGAACGAGGGGGGTACCTTCGTCTTTAAGCCACCCCACCCCACCCCCATCACATCATATATATTCCATGCTAAATTTATGTAACACTATTTCTTGCTACATTTGTGGTATCATTAATTCTTGGATTTTTTTATTTTTTATTTTTTACTTTTAATATATTTTTTTAAAGCTGGATTTGATGTACAGAACTATAGATTCTATTATACTTCTGTTATGGGATCTTTCTATATTTGTTTATTTATTTATTTTGTTAATACAATTTTACTATGTTCTTTTTTTTTCTAGAGAATAATTTTAATATATTAAATTGAGGTATTTTAATTGCATATTTTGCCTAGTATTTTATTCTATTATATGAAAAATAAGCAAATAAAAATATGAAAAAGACTGTGAACAATTTATTTATATATATTTTTATTAAATAGAACCCAATTAAATTTTCTAACTAATTAGTAATTACCAATAACAAGAAAAGTGGTGGCCACGAAAGAAACAGCAAAAGCGTGTTTTGGGCGGTGGATGAATTTCCACGATTATTGTTTTTCATCCTTTCATCGTGCTTTTGGGCCACTACCCGATTCCCTAATACGGCCCTGACTTGATAAATAAATATATTCGATTAAATTTTTATAAATTAATACATTCGAATTTTTTTATTTTATTAATTTAGTGAAATGTTAATTTAACGAGGTTTTTAATTTACGGGGTTCTAATGTATATATGTAAATAAAAGACATTTTAGATTCAACCAAACAATATTCAAAAAGGAAAAAAAGTAAATTCTAATAAAAGTGTATAAGTGCAAATTACATGATACCTATTTTTTATTTTTTGGGTTACTCAAAAGAAACACGAATTGCGTCATGCATAATTTGAGGTTTATAGTTCGCTAACTAAATTCTTATTTGTATTTTAATTGATATTAACAATTTGATTATCGAACTTAAATAAAGTTTATTTAGTGTGAATTGTGATTCCATTAATGATTATAGGGACTGTAAATTATATATGTATTTTTCAATTGAAAAGATAACTCGCAGTTATAAGGGACCGAATGCATTAAAAAAAAATTATTACGGATCGTCAATAATATTTATTATACAAGATTTCTTTATATTTTTATGTAAAATAAAAAAAAAAAATGATATTGGGAGGCCCTGGTCCCCGACTTTATATTGGCTCCGCCACTGCTTAATAAGTTTCCTTTGTAAAGAACAATTTATAGCAAAATACTTATAAAATATTTATAAAAATAAATGAGAAAAAAATGAAATTATAATGAAGGAAAATACTTTGTCTTGGGGAACAAACAATGTAGCGACTTGTTTGGCTAAACAAAAATCCAGAACCTTCCATTTCATTTTTCATTTTCAATTTTTTCCAATAAATAAGTTGCTAGAAAAACCCATTTTCGCTATTTATATATCCGCCTCCTCTCTCCCTCAAAAGCTCGTCTCCGTAAACCCTAAAACCCTAGCACAGCAACAAAGGAGAAAAGCGACCTGTTATCAATGGCGACCGCCGTTCTTCTCAGATCTCTCCGCCGCAGAGAATTTTCTTCAGCTCCTATTTCTGCTTTCAAAACTGTACGTCTCTTCTCCTGATTTTTTTTTTTTAATTTTCTGATCGATTGTTGCTTTTTTTCCCTTTGTTATTTTTTTTTGGTGTTACTTGTTTGCGATCTACTGTTTTTGTTATGTTTACTGATGGTTAATGATTTTATTCTCCGATTATAAGCAAAGTAGTGATGCGAGATTTATTGTTACTGAAATGAGAAAAGGAAATCTACTTATGGAATGAAAATTACTGGTGTTTTAACTATGCCATGATTTTTTTTATTCTCTGTTTTCCATTTCGACGGCTTTTGTATTCCGAACTAGCTGCCGTTCGGAAAATAATTGTAATTATAGATTTTTTTTGGTAAAAGCACGTTTTGAATTTTATTGTTCAGTTCATTATCGAAAATTGATATCTATATGATAAAATGAAATGGTTCTCTCCTGTTATCGAATCTCACTAATAATGTGACTGATTGTATTATTTGTTTTGTTAGATTATAGTGTGGTATTTAGTGTATCTTATACTAGAAAGTTTAGGCTGTCACAATATCTGTTGAGTAGGATGGATGATTTGCCGCATTTCCTGCTGTTGTGGTTTATAATTCTGTGCACACTTTTGATTTGGGCAAGGTTGTAATATTTGCATTTTATGGGCATGGCCTGGCAATCTAGTACCGAATATGTGATATCTGGTTTTATGTAGTGATGCAATACCTCTTTTCCTGTGCGTTTTTATTTCATTATTTTGCCGTTAATGATGTGTTTTCTTTGGTTACTGA